GCAACCTTGACCTCACTTTTTTTAAATTTACACTTTGCTCAGTTTTAAAGAAACCATTTCAGGTATTTTTATGTAAGCTTATGCACTGATACATGAATTGATGATTTTTTTTATCTATATCCAAATTTTAAACTTGTTCTTTCCAATTACCTTCAATTTTATTATTTATTGTCTATAAAACTCAATTTTAAAGAAACTTTTCAAGATATTCTCATCAAACTTCGCACACTAGTACAAACTTTCATGTTACGTTACTGATATTTTCGGGGGAGGGGGGTATTCATGTCCTACGGACACATTCTAGTTTTCTATAATTTCTGTTATATAGACTCATGTGTTTCGTTCCATTGATCATTTACTTTCAATCTATCGCCAATGAGTCTGGTTTTAACCATTATATCTGAATGGCTGGTGCTAGGGTGATTATATATTACATGTGTATTTCTTGTGATAAGACATTTCTTGCGGTGCAAATATTTCTGACCTGTTGACGACCTTGGAGTTTCACCTTCTATTGAAAACCTTGGCCATAATATTTAAGTTATTTGTGTAAGGCTTTTAAATTCCACGCGTGTATTTCTATATATTTCTCTTTTTTTTACTTTTAACCTCGGTCTTTGAGTTCCATCTACATTTGGACATCTTTAGCCTTGGTTTTGAGCTGCCATGCAGGGGCATCGGTGTTTTACGAACACTTATTCAAATATTCCTTTGCTGCAAACATTCTTATTACCAAGCTAACCTACAAGTATTTCTATCCGTTTTATGTGTCTGTTTAAAATTGATATTACAAATTCGACTTCTTCAAAATAGTTGTCAGTCTTGCAGCATAAAATAATATGTAAGAGGGATTGAACGTTAATCAAATAAAAGACCATATTCTTTTAAAATAAGGGACTTAGATACAAATTTCGTGAATGTGATGGTGAACACAACGTGTTCACTAACGAAAAACTGCGTTAAAATTTTCATTTCCAAAATGCGACAGAATTGGCAATATCAAGAAACAGTCAATAGACTCGAGTGCTAATAAGGACCAGGGGTCTATGTTGTTTCTCTATATCTGTTTATATGTGTCTATTATTATATCCAAAATGATTAATATATATATATAGAATGAGTATCAGCTTAGTTTTGTCGCTTACGCTTGAATGCTATCTCCAAGAGATGATGTAGATACGATATCGACAGTCAGAGTTCTCCATCATTTGAAATTTTACTGTGTTGCAGACTTTAAGTGAACCACTAATATTCGCAGTATTTTCGCGATCAAATTCGCAACCGAACCACTATTCATTATATATAATTAACCCCCCCCCCCCACACACACAACTTTTTTGAATTAAAAATTAGTTTTACAAACGGTATGATCGTACATATCAATAAAAAATAAATGAATGGAATGGATATTTCAAACAATGTTTCCATATACACTATAATATTCTACATACAATGTACTGTAAGACAAATTAACCAACTCTAACCCCCCCCCCCCCCCCCAACACACAACTTAAAAAAAATAAGTACTATATAACAAAAAACATAAATAATATACTTTTATCACTCCCCACAATGAAATATATGGAGATAACGAACAGTATTCAAGCTCAAAAGTCCATTAATCGATACAAAATAGGAGCAGAGCAAACACGGACCTCCAAACATCAGAGGTGGGATCAGGTGCCATGGAGGAGTGAGCATCCCCTGCCGACCGGTCACACCCGCCATGTGCTCCTTGTCATGATCGGGAAATAACGGAAAAATCCGTCGATAATTCAATGTGTAAATAATGGCCTAACAATTAGTATGAATAACGTCAGTCAGCATTTGACTCAATGATAAATTATATTTGCTGACAAGGTCATCGTATCAACCATAGAACTTACGAAATGATGACTTTAAACGAGACAGCTGATATTCTTGTTTCATCAACTTATTTGTCAATAATTTACCTTGTTTTAGAAATTGTACATACGTAGAACATGCTCTTGCGTATCGAATTAACTGGGAGATATATACCCCGTATGCAGGTGATGAAGGTATATTGCTGCATAAGTAAGGGAAGTTGACGATTGAAAAGTTAAAGTCATCACGTTTATCATAAAGCTTGGTTGTTAGATTACCATTAACGTCTTTTTCAAGTAGAATATCCAAATATGAAACAGATGTGTCAGACTCTGTGGTATCTTTTATCTCAAGTTCACAAGGATATATCGTATCGACATAAGAATGGAAATAGCCATTGTTATAAAGTTGAAAAGTCGTAAGTTTTTAAGCTGTTGATTTTGCTAAAATCTTGTGATTTCAAATTTTCCAAAAGTTCCTTGGAATTTTTAAGTATCCACATCTGATTGATACCACTTCTCGAATATATTGTTGCACAGTACTCTTGAAGTTTCTCTTTCACCACTGTTAACATCATAGTGATGAGTAAAGATAGAGGCTTGGTTGAACATTTATGGAACCCGCTATGTATCTTTGTTTGTAAGGATTTTTATGAAGTTTCGGAATCCAATATAAATATGGTAATTCAAATTCATTTTGGTTGTTTGGAATATTAAAAATATTCAAAACTGACATATGATTTTGAAGAATTTCTTCCTTAGAAAGGGAACTATGAGTATAAGTTGGATTACCATTTGTAGAATTAAATCCAAGTTCCTTTAAAATACATTTAATATAATGAGCCTTACAAACAAAGACAATGTTGTTACCTGCTTTGTCAGCAGGGACCAGTAAGTACTGATCATGTAATCTATCTAATTCTTTTTTCACTTCTGGATTATTGAATACAGAAGGATAGATGGTTTTCATATTGCCTCTCAATCTCAAAATGGTTTATGTGTATTAGGATACAAGTTGCTCGTGTATATTAAACCTTGATATTTTTGTATATACGATGTATATTTTTTAAACTTCATATTTACACATGCTCTGAAGAGCAGAGGAAATTCTGGTCGATAAAATCGATCTACTTCCCCTCTTTAAAAGTAAATTTGCCGTGATTTTTGTCAGTTTATCGAATTTAAAATTATTTTTAAAAAAACTTTAGAATAGTAAAATACTTTTAGGGGGTGCCTTTGAAATCTTCAACAATACATATACATCAATGAAATGATTACGGTACCGTAACGATGTTTGACTCACAGTGCCAACATAATTCTAGAGACGTGGTTCTGAAGTATAAAAACATATAAAGGCATATGTTTATTATATTTTTTTAATTTTTAAAATAATATTTAAACGTGCAACTAGCAGTTATACAGTTACATGGAAGTGTGAAAACAAATTATTTGTCTTTGTTTCTTCATGTGTTAAGTCCAGCGAGGATCTAGGAGATAATTGATTATGCAAGGTGAAGCAAGTCAAATTGCCCTAATTAAGAGACAATTAAGTGCACTGCCTTAAAAAATGAAAAGACGATAGACTTCTTTGATTAAAGATTCCGTTAGAGAGAATTTATATGTTCTGATTTTCTCATTTTCACATCTCTTACTGTGTCACAAAATTTTTACTGTGTTGCACGCATAAAATTTGAATCGTTACTGTGTCGGAGGAAATTTTACTGTGTCGTGCCCGACACACTAAAACAGCTCATGGAGAACCCTGGACAGTTAAGTTTTGTTTGTTTAGTGTGCTACTATGTTTCTTTATATTTGCGTGTATAGTTTGTTTGTTGTTTAACGTCCCTCTCGAGAATTTTTCACTCATATGGAGACGCCACTACTTGCCGGTGGAGAGCTGCAAATTTTGTCCTGTACTCGGCACTTACTACCATTGAGCAGTGAGGGATCTTTTTCGTGCCAGCACCTACTGCGACACGGGGCCTCGGTTTATACGGTCTCATCCGAAGGACCAGTCTTCATGTCCCACAGTGGGATTCGAATCCGCGAGGTTAGGATCAACTCCTTACTTTGCGACTCTAGAGCAGATGCTCTAACCACTGCAATCAGTTTGACTACGACTACCATCTTTAAAACTATGTTATGTGTATTACCTATACAGTTTTCTTTAATATTATCGATATGGTCGATATCGACGATATCGCCTCGACATCGAATCATGTTTGCTAAACCATTAGTTGGTATCATTCTTGCTGCCGTGTAATTTTGTATGTGTTTCTATGTTTCAGTAGATTCTAGTTACGAATATTCCTTTGCCGTTAATATCGACGATACCAATGATTTTTCGAATCATGTGAGTTAGCATATGTGCATTGAATGTACATTGTGGTCAGTTTTTGGAAAGCTAGGACATCTTTATAAAATGTTTGGTCGTCCTATCCCGACCCACTGGCTAAAATTGGTCTGATTCACATCTTATTTTAACTTCTAGCAATTAAACATTTTTTTGTGAATTCCGGAATATAGATTTTGAAAACTCAACATTGATAAAGAAATTTTCTTTAAGAAAATTTTCTTTGAGACAATTCCAACCTACCTAAAGACATGGGATTTTCATCCTTAGTGGAGAGGGGGCAAACAAACATTAGTTTTAAGTTGGCCGTATATACTGAACTTTAAAAACTACTTTTATTATGCCCCCCTTCGAAGAAGGAAAGGCATATTTCTTTGCTGCTGTCTGTCGGTCGGTCTGTCTGTCGGTCCACGAAGTTTCCGTTCGTTTTCTTTGCAGAGAGTACACGTATTGAAATGAAATTTGGTATACAGACTTATTAGAAGAATATCTAGGTCAAATTTTGTTTTGGATACGATCGAGCCATTTTTGACAGAGTTATGCCCCTTGGAGTTTAAAAGATTCGAATTATTTGCATTTTCCGTTCATTTTCTTCGCAGAGAGTGCACACACTGAAATGAAATTTGGTTTACAGATTTGTCATAAAATATCTTGTTCAAATTCTGTTTTGGGTATGATCGAGCAATTTTTGACAGAGTTATGCCCATTGGACGTAGAAATATTCCAATTATTGGGAGGGGGGCATACGTGTTTCACAAACATCTCTTGTTACTATAAAGAACTTTTTTTTAACTTAATTCCAGGTTTTGAACCAAATAAGCCACCAGTTTTTAAAGGGGAGGTTGTTAGTTTGCCAGATCCTGAAACTGACAAAATAAGATGGTCAGATGCTCTACAAAAAAGTAGAATTCCAGGCAGATTAAACAGCGTCATAAAATATGGAAGTGAAACAAGATTCACAATTGGAAGTTTATTCTTTGATCAAGTGCATATCCGCTTTGTGAATCAAACTTTAGATTTGCCGGACCAAAACGGCTGTGCTACAATGTACAATCAAATTGAAATTCAAAGCCTTCCCCATGGAACTTTTTTTAAGCCTGGTGATTCTGGAGCATTTGTGTTTTGTATCAACCCTGATAAGACACTAAGCTGTCTTGGGATGGCAATAGGTTCGACCACCAAGGGATCCTGTCTAGTGACACCAATGGTTAGAATTCTAGATTCTTTTGAACTCCCTCGTAGATTAAAGCCGTGTTCTCCTTTTGTATCTGGAGGCAATGCTAGAGTGTCAGAAGATCCTACAAGTTCACAGTTAGCCGATCAAAGTCATGATCCATCAGCAGTTAATTTGGAAGCGATACTGTTGAATTTCCAAAAAAACATACAAAAGTCAATGGCAGATATGAAAAATGCACTTCAAACAGAAATAGGAAATTTGAGAACGGAAGTTCGAGAAACGAATGAAAAAATCCAAACAGAAGTTGAGAATTTGAAAACCAAAGTTGGAGAGTCGCCAATGCAAGATCGAGCAGAAGTTGGAAACTTAAAAGCACAAATAAAAGAAACTAAAGATAACCTTTAGTTATAAGGGTTATCTGCAAACTTATCTGACATCAATAGGAATAAAGAAGTTTATAATTATTCAAAGAATAGATTGTTTTGCATAAAGGTGTAATTGTGCATACATAAGTAAGTAATCTTGGCTATTGTAAACATCTCATGACATTAAATGTAGTTTTTATTCGTGATCCATTGGCGATCTGTATAATTACTATCCATCTACGTTTTTTCCCCCAATTTGCTAATTTGGATGAAGCATTTAGCAGTACTGTTAAGGTACACAGTGGAAATATCGACAGTTTTTAGGTCGTCTGAGTTACTCAGGTATTGTTATCTGTTTTCGTCCGTTGTCTTTCGTCGCGCATTGTGAGTTAACATTTGAATATTTTCAGCCTTTTCTCTGACACAGCTGAACCAATTACAACCATTTTTTCATATAGTATCTATGGTTAAAGGGGAACAAAAATTGTATATTTCATGGTCCCTGTCCCTCAGGTTTTAGGGGTTGGGGCAAAAACCACCGAACTTGATGCAATCTTATAAAATCTTCTTTACTTCTGGACATCAAACAGTTACACTAATGGAATGTTTGTAATAAGCAATGAGCCCTCTACCAAAATTGTGAAATTCATGGCCCCACGTTAAGGGGTTCTGGTGTTAGGGCGGTACTATACAAATCATATATAGTGAAAGTGCATTATTTCTTTTAAAATCTTCTCTGCTGCTGGGTATTAAACAAACTTACTAAGTGTATAGTTAAGATAAGCAAGGGTGCTTCTTCCAAAATCGTGAATTTCATGGCCCCTGAGTCAGGAGTTCGTATTAGGGCGGGGCTCTATTTATTACAGTTGAAATGCATCATTTCTTTGAAAATCTTCTTCTCTGATCCTGGGTATTAAATAACCTAACAAAGTACATAGTTATGATAAGCAAGGTTGCCTATTCAGTAATTGTGAATTTCATGGCCCCTTGGTCAGGGGTTTTTGTGTTAGGGTGGGACTCTATTGATTTTAGTAAAAATGCATTATTTATTTGAAAATCTTCTCTGCTCCTGGGTATTAAATATACTAATTTAGTATATGGTTATGATGAGAAAGGGTGCCTTTTCCAAAATTGTAAAATTCATAGACCCAGGGTTGGGGGTTCTTGAAAGAGGGGGGGAGGGGGCTCTATGATTATATAGTAAAAAAGCATATTTAAAAAAATATTTTTTTTTTCTACTCCTGCATGGTGATAAAACAAAGAAACTAATTACATAGTTATGATTAGCAAGGGTGCTTTTTCCAGAATTGTTAATTTCATGGCTTCTTACAGAGTTATCAAAACTTGTGACCCAGGTTCAAGGTTCTATTGTTTCTTGGGAGTTCTTTATTGATAATATAGTGAAAATGTGTGAATTCTTTGAAAATCTTGAGTAAAGTTGGCCAGGAGTCCCATGGAAACACATTGACTTAGAAACCCGGGATTCTGAGGATGTGTAAAAGTATAAGTAGTCATATAGATATAGAGGCAGTCTAGGCTCAAAGTAGTTTAAATCATGACCCCCGGAGGTAGGCTTGGGCCACAATAGACGATCAAAATTGTACATAGAAATATATTTAAAAATATCGTTAAAAATCTCCTTTTCAAAATTAGCAAAGGAATGATAAGTCATATTTATATGGAAGTTTCCTGAAGGTAGTTTATATTTACGTTTGTTCAGATCATAACCCCCAGGGGACGGGTGGGTCCACAATAGACAACCAAAGTTTTACATCGGATTATGTAGGAAAAATTCTGCTAATGAAGAACACCAGGGCCGTAGTGACTGAGGTGAGCGTTGTTTTCCATGAGCATTCTTTTTTCCTTTTTATTTCTTTGTTTCATTTTCTTGAAATGACAAAAGGCCCATGGGCCATATCGCTCACCTGAGCACTTAAGATAGGAAAAAGCAGAAATCAGTTTAGTACTGAAAAGTTTTACTATATATAATTGGTCAGAGGGGATGATTTGAACAAACTTGAATCTACACTACCTGAGGATGCTTCTATATAAATATGACCAAACATAGCTTTGCTGTTGTGGAGAAGAATATTTTTAAAGACTTTTCCTATATAATTCTATATTTAAAAATATGACCAAACATAGCTTTGCTGTTGTGGAGAAGAATATTTTTAAAGACTTTTCCTATATAATTTTATGTAAAACTTTCATCGTCCATTGTGACCCCGCCCTACCCCACGGGGTCATGATTTAAACAAATATGAATCCACACTACCTGAGAATACTTCTATATAAATCTGACAAATCATGGCTTTGCTGTTCTTGAGGAGATGGTTTTCAAAAGATTTTTGTTTATTGTGGCCCTGCCTTCTTAACACCCCCACCCCCCCCCCCCCCCCCCCCCGGGGTCATGATTTGAACAAACTTGATCCTACACTACCTGAGAATGCTTCAAAATAAATATGATCGATCATGGCTTTTCTGTTCTTGAGAATAAAATTGTAAAAGAATTTCCCTATATATTCCTATCTAAAGCTTTCATTGTCCATTGTGCCCCCGCCCTACCCCCGGGGGTCATGATTTGAACCGATTTAATCTTCACTACATGAGGATGTCTTCACGTAAGTTTCATCTTTCCTGGCCCAGTAGTTCTTGAGAAGAAGATTTTAAAAAGATGACATTAATTTTTCACTTAATGTATTTTTAATTATCCCTCCTTAGAAGAGTGCGTGTGCGTTCGGCTCTGGTGAGCTAAAGAAGTAAAAATAACAAATAGTGATCGAACACAGAAAATCTACTAATAATACAAATTTTTGAATAGGGCATAAAACACATACGCCCTGAAATTCCAGAGGTATGATCAGTTGCCTGCGAGGAAGGGCTTCCCTGTTTATCGGTTAATAAATGCTGTAAGCCTTAAGTATTGATCATGTAGAAGGAATATTCAGTAGTCAAATTTAGTATAAAACAAAGGCCTAACTGTAGGTCAGAAATTTTTTATGCAAATCTGTGGCTAATTATTGCCAAATATGAGCAGGACAGACTATACATCTTTCAGGAAGATAATGCACCAGTCCATACACCTAGAGAGACTTGTAGGTGGAAAACTGAAAATGGCATCAACACCATCAATTGGCCCCCACAGTGAAAATAAAACTTCAAAAACGGATTATTTCTCAAATAAAAACTAGACAGGACCTAATTGATAATGTTTTAGAAATCTGGACATCTCTAACTCCAACATATATAAATTTGTATCAATCCCTACCAAAGCGAGTCCGATCTGTTCTGACAGTCAATGGATGCATTACTAAGTACTGATTTTTTGGAGTAAGTACCTTTATTATATTTAAAGATATATGGCCATGACCAAAGTGAAAGCACATTATTTCGGCTCTACGTATCACTTCAGCCATTTTGTGACTTTCAATTTGGTAGTTTCAATAGTAAACAAATTTTAAATGTGATCTGGTACATGTAAAAATGAGAGAGTTTAGTTTTGTTTTTTTAAATAAATGTAAACATTTTTTTGAGATTTTTTTTCCGAATTCAATTCCATTACAATATGAAATCATTTTCTTTCTCGGTGTATTAGTTACACTGTAATAATTTAAGGAATCACTGTTTAGTTTGTTGGGTATGCCAGGGCATCAACAATAGTTGGAAACGTGGGATAATTTGCATGACGGGCAAAACAGACAGTGATTCCTTATATTTTCATTATATTTGAAATAAAATTTTCAATATAAATTTTAAAAATGCTGTCTCATACATTTAAAACACACGAGGTCGCACGTGTTAATTTCAATTGTCCCCACCCATTGACGTCAGACATAAACACAACCGCACGAGACCCTGGCTCCTGAGCTTTCACATGAAGAAAATTAACATTCCAGTTGAATTATCAAGAAATTAACTCACCTAACTTTCAAAGAGCTATAACAGGGAAAACAATTAGAAATGGAAATATTAGTTTTTAATCAACATACTTTCTCTTGTTCTATAGAAAACAGGAATAATATTGCCTATTGGTTTGTTTCTCAATTTCAATTCTATTGTAATTATTATTGGTGTTTTGTAATGCTAAACGTCGGTCAAGTTTTATGATAAATCTACATGCAATGCTAAAATTGATTGAATAGGAAAATCTGTATGGAATTATTCAGAAGGAATGGACCTTTAATGTGCTGTAGGTATTAACCATGAACATTGTCTAACAGGAAACAGTATCCTCTATAGATGCAACAGAAATCTTCTCCTGGAATGGAACATGAACAACAGCAATTTAACATTAAAACTACTATTCTCCAGGACTAGACCAAAAATATTCTCCAGAAATGAATCAAAACATTCATTATGAATGAAACATGTATATTCAAAAGCAAGGGACTATGAATAGGGGTAAGCATCTGCTGTCGATTGGTCACACCTCCCGTGTGCTCCTTGTTAAGATTGAATAAACGGGAAAGTCTGTAGACAATTCAGTGTAAAAATAATGGACCTCAAAATTAGTATGAAAAACGATAGTCAGCATTCGAATTAACAACATATTGTATTTCAAAGCCATTGTTTCGACCATAGTATTTGCGATATGCTGACTTTAAACGAGAAAGTTTATATCCTTGTATCATCAAGTTATTTGTCAATAGCTTCGTTTTAGAAATAGTATCTATATTGCATATTGAAACAAATGGGAGACATGAATGCCATATCTAGGTGAATACTTTATTTCCATGAGGTATCTTTTAAATATGCTTATAAAAACAAAATAAAAGATTAACTGTGAGATAAAAATATTTATTCATGATAACATTTATTTTCAGTATGCAGTGGCACTCCATAGTGAAAATGAGTATTGCATCTTTTTGCATTAAACAAATGACAATTCCCTTTTGATACATTAAATATTTATATTCTTGGTTTTGTTACAAATAAAGTTTCAAAATACAAGCACAATAAACATAATTTTTTTAACAGTGAGCTAAAACATCCCATAGACAGTTAAAACCATTCCTTTGATTATCAATTTTTAGCCAGCCTTTGATTGGAGCACTCCTATGATTGACATTACTTGACCACGCCTTCTATGGATATGATTGGAGCACTCCTGTGATTGACATTACTTGACCACGCCTTTAGATCCTGGTCCTCTCCTTTGTGTACTACAGATTGTACAGCGCTCCTAAAATGACAAGAAAATCAAAGTACTGTGAGAAATAAAATCAAGGACAATAGACAAAACAAATGATAATATGAAATGACTATCTTCCTAGGTGAAATTATAGCAAGAAACCCAAAGGTACAAAAGGGTGAGACAAAACTTACCATTACTTACCATTACCTCTGATGTTTGGAGGTCCGTGTTTGCTCTGCTCCTATTTTGTATTGTTTAATGGACTTTTTAGCTTGAATACTGTTCGTTATCTCCATATATTTCACTTCTCAACCCTTTGTGTTACATATTGTTAAAGTATGGATCAAAGGTAACAGAATAAAAAGCAACAAGTGCCTCCAGTATATTGGTTTTAAAAAGCAGATGTGTATATTTAATTAATGTACGGGAATATCATTTTGAAAGTTGTTTAAAAATTCAAAATTCTTTCTAACAATATCTTTCAAAAAAGATAAATTAAGAGATGTATTGAAAACATAAAAATATTATAGAGTTTGTCGGAACACTAAAATAAAGCAATGTTTTGATAAGGAGAAAAAAAAATCACCATTGAGTTTGTGGGTAAGCAATCTTCGTGGAATGCTGGTTTACAGTGGAATAATACAACATTGCTAGCTCATATCTCAAATCTACAAAACTTGTAATTACTTGTAATTATCTTGTAATTACTCATTATCGGACATATACATGAGCATTTTCCAATACGGATTCACAGCAAAAATAATTAAAACGGATCATGAAAAGGGATAGAAATTTGTAAAATATTACATGACAAAAATGCATGATGACATTAATTGAAAATCTCAAACTTTACAATTGACTTGATTTCACAGAAGAGCTCTAGCCTACCTGTTACTATGATTCGCTGTTGACAAATAGGACAAGACTGACTACCTGGTAAAAAAAATGTTATTCTTTTAATACCTTAAATTTTAGTACAACTTTCCTGCCTACTTCCAAATATTTACATTCTCTTTTTTCTATCAGACCGTGAATATGACATAGAATTTTAAAAAAGCCTGGCTGTCTGGTCATTGTTTATTGTTTCCAATCAAATACCCCCAAAACATTCTTACTTGGTGAATATGCATTCATAAAAACATTACCCCTTCCAAAGAACCTAAACAGGAAGAACATATAAGCATCATTGTCATGTTATCAATATAGCATTAAAATATTGCTTTAAATAACAACAGCTACGCCTCTTCTCTGTGCTTTGACCAGTCTGTCCAATAGATTAAAACTTTCAGCCACCAGAATTCCTCTACAGCCCTCCCTCAATGATATCTAACAGGAAATGAAAGTAAGATTGTCAGATACTGTTGAATATACGTTTTTTAATGCTTTTACAATTTTCAACATTGATGGCATTAGATTTTGAAACTAGTTGTTAGAATAAAAATATGCCTCTGGAGCAAGAATTGTCACTTAGGTTTGTATTAAAAATCTCAAAGCTACATTAGAAATAGGAAAAAGAAGAGTCTGTGAGCAAATGCTCTCTATTTATACCCCCGATAGTATGTGAATAACCCTTTCACGTTGACATGAGAAATATTGTGCTAAAATTTAAAGCATCTGCGCTGAGTAGTTGCTGAGAAAACTGTGACGGAAATTTGTTACGTACAGACGCGAAGATAAATGGGAAGTTGAAATTGGATTCGAACGAAAATGAATCCCATCATATGACATGCCTAAACAAAGAATGTGCTTAAATTTCAATCATCTTTAATGACTAGTTGCTAGGAAAACTGCCACGAAAATTTGTAACGGACAGACGCACGGATAAACATGAAGTTGACATCGGAATTAAAAAAAATATCCCACCATATGACATGTCTAAACAAAAAGTGTGCTAAAATTCAATCATCTGCGATGAGTAGTTGCTGTGAAAACTGTGACTAAAATTAATTATTGACAGACACACATACAAACGGACGCACGAACACAAAAGGGTAAAAGAGTATCCTTTGGAGCGGTGGTATAAATACTGCCTAAAAGAAAGAAAGATATGATCAAAGACCTGGGCATTGATAGAAATATAATTATATACAAATTAGAACAAGAAGCAGAGGAGGTAGCCTTAAAACAAGACATCAACACACTCACTATTATGTCAGAAACGTACTACCACTTTTTACAGACAAACTTAGAAAATTACTGACAATATGCTGTCTTGACTGCGAAACTTGATTTTGCAGTAAAGGCAGCACATTGACAGTAATTGTCTAGTTTTGTCTGTAAAGAAATAGGAATGTCAGTACGTTTCTTAATTAGTAGTGTCTGCATTTTAAACGTTGATAAATATTTATGTAAGTATTGGGAATTATTATTATTATTATTTGTAAAGATATACATTTTTGATATATTGATATAAAAATATCAAGACCACAATAAGCAGTAAACGGGGCCTATCATCAGAGAAAAAAATAGTTAAACATCTTAAATACGCTTTATCATTAAAAGTTACGCTATTTTAAAAGAATACAATATTGCGCGACTTATTATTAATATTGCTTATTTACTACCGATAATTAGTTCGTTCAATAATGTACATGTAAATCGCGCTTTGTTTTTTCTTTTTATTTCAGTTAAAAAACAAACAAACAAGCTAAATCAAGCTTTACATTATTATTATTATTATTATTATTTTTATTATTTTTTTTTTTTTTTGTAAAAAATAAATCAAAATAATATCATAGTAATTTACGATTGGACATACTGTACATGTACATTTATGCTGTTCTTTATTTTGTTTTTTTTTTTTATTTTTTCAATTAAGAAGATCAATAATTTTGAAGTTGATCTGGATTTAAACAAAAATGTAAATTAGAAGTATAAAAATAAAATAATTGAATGAAAGCACATACATATACATAATCTGTACCGTATCTTGCTATGATTTCTCAGAAACCATTTTCCCCCAACCCCTTTTTTTAGTAACAATTGTGATAACCATTATTTTCTTTTTCCTTTTATACAATAAAGAATGTTTTGTCTTATAAATTTACCCAATATAAATTAATGGATTTAAAAAAAAATAAAGAAAATAAATGTGTAAATAAAACATAATACCTGGCTAATTAAAATATAAATATAATTTTTTAAATCATGTTAATAATAATTTCACACTGTACATTAACACGTTTTGCTTGTAGAATGTTTTATTTACATCGAATGACAAACTGGCATGCTGATCGGTCGACACGCTGATTGGTTATCAATCCTTATCGCTAATCCTGATTGACAGCTCTTATACGCAACACCGAACGCGCGTTCGCTTTCTGGGTTCGCTACTGAATTTGGGGTTCACTTTCGGCGTCCGCTGCGGGTTCGCTCGGGGTCAGCTAAAGCGAACCCCAAGCGAACCCAGAAAGCGAACCCGGGGTCTGCTTTGGGTTCGCTTTCTGTTAGGTTGTGTCTGGTCGGTACTGTAGCACCGGATGTCTCTCGATGTTGTTTGTTCTCATCATACTCTTTATTAGAGTCTTCATAAAGAGAATGGCCTCATTAAAAGATCTGTACCTTTGTGAAGAACAAGCTGGATTCAAAAGAGGCAGGATATTTTTCTTGATGAAAATGAAACATGAAGAAACAAAAAATCCTTGTTGATATTGCATATTATTTATCAGTAAGAAAAGATATACAAAGCAAAACTGATGATTAAGAAAAATATGGGGAAAAAAAAATAATGTGAAGTCACTAATTTTCATCAAAGTTTAATTTTCATTGTTTTCGAGGTAGGACGAGACCCACAGAAATCTTCTCCATCAAGAAGTGTAAATTGTCGTCTATAGAACTGCTGAATAACTCTTTATCCACGAAATAAAATCGTCCACTTTAAAAAGTTTCCCGCAAACCACCAAAATATGACATTACAAAAATGTGTGGTTTTATAGTATAATGAATACAGATATCAGAAAATCAAAACTTATGATGTTAAATGTAGAAAACAACAACAACACAAGAAGTAGAGAACCTTCTTAATTTTAGCTTCAAGATAACAGCAAAGAGAAATAATTCAAGAATGAACGTAAAAAACAGAATAAGAAAAGCCTGTGCTGCCTTTGCAAATGATCTCCAATAATCGGAACCAAAAACAAAAATTAGAATTTTGAAGAACTTTATTGGAGTCATCCTTTAATATAGCTTTACGTCCTGGAATCTGAAAAGGGCAATCACACACAAACTAGACACCTTCCAGACAAGATATCACCACATATTACTCACGATTTTTACAGCAAGATGGAGCTGTTTGAAAGAACAGAACATTAATTATTTATGAAAGGAGATACGTTAGATAGGTCATATCTTCAGAACTGAAAGATTAGAGATACCTCGTGTGAATCAAATCTCTCCACAGCTGAAGACTTCATCAAAACCAATAATAACAATGTAAACCATGGCTAAGTCATTCCTGTTCCTCCCAGCAACGTCAATAATATCACAATCATTTTTATGCTGTAAATAATGATCCAGCAAACCTGTTCTCTCCTGAAACTATAAATCCCGCAACCGTTATTTCTAAGCCCTTCCAACACCTTTCTACCTGTAGATTATAGTACTGAAAGATCTTAACCAATGAGTCCCTTAATCCTGGAATTTCCATTCCATTCTGGATTTGGGGGATCAGTCTAATGGGATCCACATGAGTCCCAATGTTATGAAGTAATCCTTTGATAAAAGCTGTCAATAAAGGGTTTCAGAACTTGTTTGAGTACTTTTAAATCCTTTGTAGGTTTAATATTGGGAAACAGAAAGGATCTTGAACTTTCTGGGTTGATTAAAGGAGAGGTGATCTTATATGTTTATCAATACTGAATTTGATAATGTTCAAATAATGGGATGCAGACATGATCTTGAATTCTTTTTGGGATAATTATTTGTAAATCACTCGCAGATAACATGAGCAGGGGTGTTCAACAGCATTCAGTGACTGAAAGGGCAACAAGTTCTGCTTCCAACACCATGGGTAAAAGCTGAGGGTAAAAAGGGATGTGGTCTTATATGGT